AAAAAAAAAAAACAACAAAATTTAATATATTTTGTACAAAAGGACTATACTTTTGATAAGTATTATTTTTGAAGATTTTATAATTAAAATATAATAAGCATGAATTTTAATTGTTTCTATTAATGTCATAGCTAACAATTTTGTATTTTATAAACTACTTTGTGGTAATAATACTTTTTTAAGTTGTGGCAAAATATAAAGAAAAAAAATTTAACCAATTTATAACGAGTATGACGTTTAGTTTAACCTACAATCATATAAATATAATACTTACAAACAATGAAGACAAACAATTGAAGTACCTTAAATTTAGAGAAATTTAAAAAGAATTTTATAAGCTATTCTTAAAACATGCATGCAGCTGGTCAAGTTTTATATATTATTATTATTTATTGATAACAAATCTTTTATATTGAAACATACAAACAAAATATCAGTTTAACCAAGTTTTTAAACATGTCATATATAAAAAATTAATTGTCACTAATAATACCATCATAATGCATTCAAATACAAAAAAAAAAAAAAAAGATATTATTTTGGTTTATGCTTAAGTGAAAATCAACAAGAATTATTTTATTTATTATCAATTATTCGCCAATAACCTTCATAATTTTCAGTTTTGGAAGGAAATTTTTTTTTAAAATACTCAATCTTAAAACTCACAGACACAATCGTAGAAAATACATTCAAAAAATATATATTGATGCACACTAAACAATAAAGAATGACAATGGTTTTATTCATTGCAGAAGATATTTGATTATATATTTTTTAAGATTATCTAAGTTGATTACTTAGTATATTGGTATTAAGTAATTTATACAGTAAAAATGTACACTAACATATAATGAACTCCATTATACATACAAACATAACTTAAAAATATTTCATTGTTAAATCATTAAACAAAACATGGCACTTGGCTTCAGACACATCCAAGACATTTATATTTTTTGTTTTAACATTCATAAATTACATTTTTGTCATACAAACTTTGAATAACCTATATTTAATGAAATGTTTGTAACACCATTATGCTGCAACAAATGTTTGAATAACAGATTAACACAATGGTTATAAAATTATAAGGTCATGACATACAAAGGACGTTCATACATTTTTGGAATACAACCATGCAATTAGAAGTTTTAGATTTTGATTTGTCAAAGGTAGAATATTAACTTTTAATTTGGAAATTTGTTTATTCTTATTTAGTTAAAAATATACATAACAATGTAAAAATATTACTATTTTCTTTAATGAAAAAATGTTTGATAAATACAAATTACGTTTTTAGTACATTTAGTCATTGTTCTTAACTTTACTCGTTTGAATTTAAATTAGACTTTAAAATTGTCCCACCAAATATTTGTATTATAAAATAATTAACTAAACTATATTATTTTCACTAAAATGATGGATTAAAAGTTTTAGGAACAAACCATAATTCGATATTTTAGGGAAATAAGAAAAGGTTTAATCTCATCGCTAAAATGATTTTAAATACTTGTTTTTTTTTCATAATACTATGTTATATTTGTTTAATTCTATAGGAATGATTTTTATTTATATATAAAGGATTACTATAAATAATTACCGTGATTTTAATTATCGATTGCTAGACGAGTTGTAATCATTATTAGAACGTTTCCTATTATTATAGTTATTTCTATGAGTCCACTGATTGCTGTTTCCTCCAGAGGAAGATGGAGGAGGCATCATACGACCATTTACTAAGCCCCACCCAGCAGCTTGAGTTAGGGCAGCAGCTACAATAGCAGGACTTAAAGGCATCATTGGACTATAGCTATCTTGTCCATTTATTCCCAGAGATTGTAAGTTAGGCATATCTACATTACCACGGTTATCAAGTTGAGGATGGTACCAATTTCGGTAGTTGTCATTATGACAATTATTTAATCGCTCCCAGGGTTCAATAGGTGGAGGTGTTTGATGACGGTTCTTTGGAGTTTGAGGTTTAGGTGCAGCTTCCGAAACACGAACAGAAACATCTTTTATAATATGATCTTCTCCACATAAACTAGCTGCCACTTCAGGATCCAGAAATGTTACAAATGCAAACCCTCTAAATGGATTTTTAGGTACAAATACGTTGATAACTTCTCCAAATTTACTAAAATATTCACGAATGTCTTCAGCTAATAAATCTTCAGTAACACGACCAACAAAAACTTTGCCAGAAAGTTCAGAACTATTTCCTTCCTAGTAGTTATATGATTAGTAAATTAAATAAAACCTTTTAATTCTTATAAAAACTATAATAGAAAAATTACTTTAGATTTTGGAATTTTTACTTCACAATTTCTACCGTCAATTTTGTGACGCTGTGATAAGACACGTACTTGTGATTCTAAATTAGTATAGCGTAAAAATCCATAACCTCTAGATTGTCCATTTTTGTCTCTTTTAATCTAATAAAAATAAATTTCATCTTATATAATATCTAAAATTTAATTAATAAAATCATACAAATTTAACAATAAATAAAATGTTAAGATTATAATGAAATATTAAAAGCAAAGTTTAATTGCAAAGGTTACAGTGATATTTTTAATTAACAGATATTTTTTTCATATAGCAATAAGGTGGCCTAGATAACTCAATTTATATGTGATATACCTGTAATAGATATTGGAAATTCAGTCTGTTATGATGGGCTAAATATAAATTTTCCCATCAAAAAAAACACAGCTTACAAGAAAAGATGTTACATAACAAATATAATGTATTAATATATATATATTATAATTTTAAATAATTAAATTTTAAGATAAGAATGCTGCAGAACAATTTTTATACAAACGTTGTTCGGCATTAATTTTTCTATGAGATTTGTACCAATATATCTAAGAAAATGGTAATCAAAAAACTTCATGATTCTTTACGCTTCTCTTTTCATGAAAATTCTATAAACGATTAATAAGGAATAAAGACATCTTTATCAAAAGCTTAAGCCTAGCACATATTTAGAGAATTCAGGGCGCCTGTATCTTCATTCAAAATTCTTGACTACATACATATTTATTGGTTTTTTTCATTGCGTAAATAAAGTTATCTTAGTTACCATTCTAGTTTATAATTTTTAATCATTCAACCATGCATAGGAAATACTAAACTATTGTTATAAAATTAAAATTTGATGCCAAATGACATTGAATGCGTAGCAAAAAAAAAATTATGTTTTCAATTGGTGTTATTCTGCAGTCAATGTGTTTAATTAATCTAAGCTATAGTTTATGTAGCCTAAACTCCTTAATGAAATATTTTTTACAGATTTCATTTGAATATAAGATAAATAAAGTTTTATTAGATGTAACAAAATAATCTTAATTTCATCTAAATATTTTATTCCTTACTTGTAACATGAGGAGTTCACCAAATTGTCTGAAATATTCTTTAAGTTTCTGTTCATCATAAGTATATGGTATATTCAGAACAACCAAGTCTGAGCATTTTAATTTTGTTTCCAATTTCTTAGTTTTTGCAGTTGGATTTTCCACACTATCATCAATTTTTCTTTTGTTCTCAACTGTAATTATTAATATTTAAAAAAAAAGTAAGTAAAATAAATAATACTTTGAGGTTAGATTGAAAATAGTACAAGTTAATTTGTGGGTTAAATGAGTTTGGAATAGAATTTTAGAAATAAAATCTGTTATGAAGCATAAAATTCATTTTTTTAATCTGCATATATATGGGTTTATAGGATTAAAATATTTGAAATCACTTTTCTGTAAAATTACTAAATTGTACTTGCACCATTTTCGTTCAAACCCCAAAATCTAGAAACAAATATTGTATAGAGTCAGACACTTACCCTTAGGAAAAACACAATAATATGGAGTTTTCCCCCATTCATTATCAGGTACATGAAAACGTTCATCGGCTAATCTAACACCTCGCACTACATTATTTTCAGTGCGAAATTTTAGGCCGCTAGCTCCAGGAAATTGAGCAGTTAAGGTAGTCAATAATAATGTTCCATTTTCTTCTAAAGGAAGCTCAACAGCTTCGCCATATTCTTCGTCAGATACCAAAACATATTTAACAGACATTGCAGATTAATGCAATGCGGCGGCTAAAGAAAATAACAATTTAACATGCATTAATTGCAAACGTTCTAGGATAAGGATAGCAGCGCTCTTAGCGGCATGTACTAACATATCAGAGAAGAGCAAATAGAACAATCGATACTTATAGTTCGATAGTAATAAAGCAATATTTTCAGTTCCAATAAGCTGCTGTCCCGTTTTTCGATGTTCAACAAATCACATTCAAGATACTTTGATTAAAAAAACTCAAATAAATGACCATTTGTGCTTTTAATCCTTACATAAATTGTAAACATAGGTATACAGTCTTAAATTCCCTTTATAAATTAATTATAAATAGTTTAAACAATAAAATGTTACAATGAAAAACGATATTTTGAATATATTTTTAAGTACTTCAAACTTATGAAGGATTCAATTGTATTGATAATTTCTATATTACATTATCGTTTTTATGAAGTTAAATCATTTTTTTATTATCCAATTAAAAAAAAATACAAAAACTTTTTTATTAACAAGTCCCACTTTAAATGGCCTTTAGGGCAAATTCCATTAGAAAAAAACTATGTTTATATAAAGAAACTAACAAAGCTTTATATATGTATTTATAATTACTAAGTTTTTTTAGGGTTTATTCTTAAATAAAAAGTAGGTTTGTCTATTCAATTTTTTTTTTTAATTTTAAATTTGTTTTTATAATGATACATTTAATTTCTTAAGAGACACGTATAAATAATAAAAAATTATTACTCATGCCTAGATTTAACCACGAACTAAAATAAAATCTTATTTTAAAATTTAATTTAGTTATATTAAAGATTAGATAAAACTTTTATCTAATCAGTGATGTTACTAGATAGATACTAGATATTTTTTACATACTCTCCAGGAATATATTATTTAATAGAAGGGGTAAGTGATTTCAGTAAATTTTTTAAACGTTTTGCTAGATAATATTGACAACACTATAATGATAACAGATAACATGACTAAATGTTTACATATTATACAGACTGCCGACTGAACTTGAATGTAAAAATTTGTGTATTTTATACATTTTTTTTTCAATATTTTGTAATGTGTTAGATGTACTGTAATCAACAATGGGTAAGCATTTAGATCGTCATCTTATGCTTAATTGATATGATTGTTTTATTTGTGATTAATTTAAAAATCCTTTTACTAGTATTATTTTAAACTTAATTAGTTTATGGTGTAAATATAAAATAAATGTGTGAAAAATTGTTTTGATTTTCAATTATGAAAATATTTTGAATATTCTTTTTGTTTTTATAGCATTAATTCTAGGTCGGTAAATAAAATTAAAAATTATTAAAAAAAAATCTGTCTATGCATTTTCTTTCGATTAGTTATAATGAATTTCATAAAAAGAAGATTTATTTAAAAGTATTTAAGTATATCACTAATATAATATTTTATATATATAATTCAAAATTGTCTACACAATAGTATAATTACATTCAGCGAATGTCTAACATATGTACTTATATACCCATAATATTTATTAGTTATACTCAGGTTTTTAGGAGATATCCAAATGTCTATTTTATTAGACCCCATGGGATAACTACTATTAATATTTATTTGAGTTTTTAAATGGTAGACCACTGTTAAAATACACTTAAATATTATTGATGAAATTTATATTTAATTGTAATTTGTAATAACCATTCAAAAAAGTACATTTTGTATATATATTTTACAAACACTTAGATATAAATAATTTAATTTCTTTCGTAATAATATAAAATTACGATAAAAAACATAATTTATTGTTTAAAAAACAATTTCTAGTTATTTTGTAATGATAATTGTAAAAAATAGTTTTATTGTATACAGTCTAAAAAAAACAAGAAAATTTAATTAATCTTTAATATTATAATATACCCTCATAATAATATTACCCTCATGGTAGTGTATAGCTTACATATACTATGGGTATGGCGAACCCAGAGCCCCTAGGTTCACTGATGGAAGTCTCTGGTAGACGATTCCAGTGATCTGACCAACTTCAGGAATAAGGAGCAAACTCTAAAAACTAACGTTCAAGAGGATAGATGTGTTGCAAAAGAAAGGCAATTTGCATATCCTGTAGGTGAGAAATCACTTTCAAAGGTTGATTATCGGCTATGAGGATAAAGAAAGCAACAAGAAAACCACTGTATTATAGATCTTTTTGATATTCTTAACCGAGTAGCTGTTACCAACTAAATAATGAACTATGAAAATAAAGAGAGACATACTGATCATGGAATTCGTACACCTAAATCCGGCAGGAATAGAACAAAGGCTATTCAGGTAGTTGCTCAACGAAAACCTTATGGAAAGACTAAACAGTACTACTTTAGAATAAGGACATGGAATGCAAAGACAATGATTAAAACAGGAAAATTGGAAAAAGTAAAAAACACAAACGAAGAAAGCAAAGTTGGATATACTTGATATAAATGAAACAAGATGGGCAGGAAATTGTGATTTGTGCAATGGAAAACTAAAAGACTAAAATTTAAACAAAGAATTTAGATTTGCTTGATACAAGAGAAAAAAGCTGGAATAGTATGAAGATGGATATAATTAGAGTTCCAGATAGAATAATTGGTAATATTAAAATAGAACCGGAGAAGCCATGGATGACTGGACAAATTCTTAGATTGATAGAAAGAAGGAACAGAGATTACAATTTATATAAACAAGTAAAAAATAAAATAAAAACAAAATGCCATCTAGCAAAAGAATGTTGGTTAAATCATAACATACAAGGAATAGAATGTGATCTACTAAGCAACAATACAGACAAAAGAGAAGATTGAAATGAAGAAGAATATATAAAAAATGAAATAGATGTAAATGAAAATAGAAAAAGACCCAAAATACTGATAAGTGAATTCGAAAAGTCTGTAGATGAACTGAGTGACAAAAAAGCAACAAGAATTGACAATATCTCGGCTGAACTACTGAAAAATGTAGGAGAAAAGACAAAATATAAATTTTTTAAAATCATTAAAGATGGTTACAATAGTGAAAGTCTACTGGAAAATTTTGAAAGAATCTGTTTTTTAAAAGTTTTTGTGTGGTTTAAATTATAGTACCATATTTAAAACCATAACTGTAGTTTTACTGTACTTGTATGTAAGTATACATACATCTACAGATATATATATATATATATATATAAAACAAGTCTTGTTCAATCTTACAGGTAATTCTATAAATAACTGTATAATATATTAATTAGAAAACTTAATTAGGAATTAATTGGCCTGCACTTTAAATAGTTTTTGTGTATCTATAAACTTATCTTTTCTTGTTAAACTTTTAAATAATGAAATTGATAACCTTTTTATATTAAGTTTATTAAACTTTAAAGTAACTAACTACAACACATTTATTTTATATTTACAAATTTTCCTAAAATTACATGTTAAATCACTCAATCTTTATTTTAATATCTCATGCCAATAATCATGATGTTTATTATCTATTTAAGTAAACAATTTTCTCTCTTTCTTGTACTAAATTGTTTTATTGTTATTATTATATGTATGTAATTGTAAATATTTTGACTATCTTTATGTCATTTATATTGGTAAAATATTACATTTTTTTTCTCTCTTTTCTTAATTTTATTGCTGTCATATATTGTCAACCATTTACTAATTAATCTTTATTGTATTATATTGCATTTACTAACCTATTTACTCACTATTGTTATTTATTAATGTATGTTAAAGTAAACATTTGTCCATACAAATAAATATGTTCTAGATATTAGAAGTTTTTTATATCCATTACGTCAGAAGGATATTTTATTTATTCAGTGCATATCCACTAGTTTAGAGTTAATTTTTATGATTTATAAGTTAGATTTATCCTCTTTTATTTTTAAGGTGCACTTATGACACCTATTGCAGAAACTATTTATATCTAGCGAATGATTGCTTAAATAATATAATTTAATGGTAACTCAAATATTTTTTATATATTTCTTCTTATCATTTTTTGCTATTTGATAGATAATAATTAAAATTTGTACTTCTCAATACTTTTAACTCATTCATTATCAATTCTTAATTTAGTTAATTATAGAAATCTTGTTTAATTTTATAAATTTATTATTTAAGATTTGTTATTAAAATCTATTTAGTGTTGATTTGATTTAAATATATTGTTGCTTAATTTCAGGTGGTTTTTTCAGTTATTTTAAAAGTTTATTTGGAGAAAAAGAGCTTAGGATACTAATTCTAGGTTTAGATGGCGCAGGAAAAACTACTATTTTATATAGACTACAAGTTGGAGAAGTAGTGACTACTATACCTACTATAGGTTTTAATGTTGAACAAGTAATTTATAAAAACTTAAAGTTTCAAGTGTGGGATCTTGGAGGTCAAACTTCTATCAGGTAAAATTTTAAAAAATAATTGTTTAATTCACTTTTTTTTAAGCAATCTTTCAATTGTAATCTCTGTTAATTGTAAAATATTTTATTGCAGACCTTATTGGAGATGTTATTATTCAAATACAGATGCTATAGTCTATGTTGTTGATTCTGTTGATAGAGAACGGATGGGTATTGCTAAAGATGAATTAATGTACATGTTAAAAGTGAGTTATATTTATCATATTTCATCAATTTTACTGAATATTGTTTCAATAAACTTTTTTTTTCTATTTTATTTTTTTATTTTATACACTAACCAATAAGTTACTAAGATTAAAAAAATTATATTAAAAAAAAAATAATAATAAAATCTTTCAGTAAATAAATGATAGTACAATCATTTATTTTCATTGATAATTCATTTAATTAAATGTTATTTTTATTTGGTATAAAACAATAAATACAGTGAGATTGCTTGACTATGACTCACATATTATCTTTAAAAGTATACAATATATTATATTTTTTTCTTTTTAGAAATTAAAAATATCCTATATTCTATAATTTTTATAAAAATGTTTGTTCTATCTCTTCTCCTCCCTTAAAATTTAATTGAATTAAGATTTTTTAAATGGAAACATACATTTTTAGTTAGATTAAAAATATGAAAATGACTGGTTATTAACAACTTTTAAAATATTTTAGAAGTTATTAAAATTTTAATAAAAAGACTGTGGGTGTAGCTTAGATCTGTTAATTTTTATTTCTAGGCATTTATGAACCACACTATTCTACTTATCTTGATATAAAAATACTAATATCTTTTAAATTGTTTGTAAAAAAGTTGTTATTGACTTGTTATTTTCTTAATTAGATCATTATATTATTTGTAGGCAAGTGTTAACATGTTTTCATTTAAAATACAAAAGTTGACACAATTTTAAGGGGAAAAAGGGATTGGGACCAAATTTTTTTTTCAGAATAATATAGAACCTATGATATTATTCATTTCTGTGAAGAAACAATTATTTTATGATTTATACTTTTAAAAATATTACGCAAGTCATAATGAAATAATCACTCTGTTAAAATTATTTTTTATAAATTAATGTTTAACATGACTAGTTCATGAAACTTCTTATTTGATAAAATATTACTCTTTTGATTAAACAAAAAAAATTGTCAGAGGATTAGGACCATCTATTTTATTTTTAAATTAATTTATAATTTTTTTTTAGGAGGAGGAATTGAATGGGGCTATATTAACAATATTAGCCAATAAACAAGATATTGATGGGTGCATGAGTGTTACTGAAGTTCATCAAGCTTTAGGGTTAGATAGTTTAAAAAATAGAACATTCCAAATATTTAAAACATCAGCCAAAAAAGGTGTAGGCTTGGATGAAGCAATGGATTGGCTTTGTAATACATTACAAAATCGTAAATAAGTGATAAGTTTATGTAATATTATCTTTAAAATTTGTGTTTGAATAATGATAAACATTTTTTTTTTTTTGACAGCATAATTATGGTCATTATTATTAAATACAATACATTCTTAAATTGTGATGTTTGTTTTTAAAAATTTAATCACAGTTTTATTTTTGTATAGAACTTAAACATCCACTTTTATTTAGATTTAAAAAGAAAAATAAGTCATTATTTATTTATTTTATTGATAATTCTACGTATATTTATATAATTATTTTTATACATTGTATATATGTTTATCATAATATTATGTTTTATTGTTCATCAACAAAGTATTGTTATTTATTTTCCACTAATAAATAACCTGTATCATTTTAATAACTTATTTACATGTAAATATTAAAAAATGTTGGTTTTTTTTATATTTAATTTAATTCACAAACTAGTATCTACTTTTTGGGTCAGTAAGTTTTAATAATAGTTACATAGTTAATTTAATGGAATTTCGCTATATAACTAGTATGTGTTGTGTTTCCTGTTAGTATACTTAATTAAAACTTTTTTTTTAGATGAATGAACACATCGATGAAATAACCAGATACATTCTTTTTTTTTTATTCAAACTTAATAAAAAATAGTAACAACTGAATATTTTCAATAATTTTCCATAAAGATGTATATATAAAAAAATTAAATGTTATTTGCTACTTATAATTAAAACAAATTGGACATTTTGTCAAATTTTTTTGTTTGTGTCTGGTTATAGCACAAAATCCTTCAGTTTATGGATTTGATGATTATTTAGCTGTAGGAGGTAAGTGTAATAAAATTATGAGATATATTGTTTAAACCTTTTATGGCTTAACAAAAAAAAATTTAGGTTATAAAGTAAAGTAGAGTATAATAATGTGATTAAAAACAGTTAAATATGTGTAAATTAAAAATAAATAATGTCTAAATATAATGAATTACAACATAAACATTGTGAGTGATGCAAGTATTATGCTATGCATTTTGGTATAGTTAATAAATGTTTAACAAAAAAAAGAAAAAGTCTTATTATAAAACTCTAGTTTAAATTGCATTCAAAATAAATAAATTTAATTTGATAAGTATATTTTGTTTGTTTCTAAATGTCTTTACATTTAAAAATATGCTATAGGAATGACAAATATAGTACAAAATTAAGGGTTTAGTTGGTATTTCTAAATGGGGTGCGGTTCATGGTCAAAAAATTATCATGACCATATTGAGTTATTTTTATTTATGCTCAAAACATTATTTTGAAGAAATTTATCTAACTGATTAAGTTGTAACATGTTAAAATAGTGATTATTAAGTAACTACAATTTATTATTTAAATTATTGAACTAATTTCTGTAGAATGATTCATATTCTGTTCACCATTATTATTCTCCTAAAATTAAAGCAATATTAAAATTTTTTTTGTTTCTTACAATTGACAAAAAATTGCTTAATTTATTTAAAAATGTCTCTTTGGTTATTTCTTATAAATGGATTTATAAAAGGTAGGTATGAACGGTTTTTAACACGCTTATATTAGTTTCACCTGTATGTTTGTAACTCTCCACGTCGTCAATGACTGAGACTAGACTGTTGTACGCATTCACCCCCACCCCGCTCACCACACGATGATAACACTATTCCTATATAATTTTATTTTTGGTTCTTGTACCCGTATATACATGTGTATCATCAATATTGTATATATATATACAGGGTGATTTTTTTATCATAACCCACTCAATTACTTTCAGAGTAATAGTAATTAAAAATTTTTTTTTTTTGGTTTTCTTCAGTTACACATTATTCTTGAATTATTAATATTCAAAACTTTTTATGTTCATCCCTTATGCCTTGTAAGGGTGTCAACTTTGTCTTTTCAAATGGGAACACATATTTTGAATTTAATAAAATGTTTGAGTTTTTAATTTAATACTAAATGGCATTTGAATTTTTAGTATAACTTTATTTATTTATTAGATATAAACACTTAAAGTTTCAAGTTTTTGAGTTAATATACATGTATAATACACAAGGAATTACAAATACAGGTAGCTAATTGGTTTTTTATGACATCGATATTAGCAGGTACACAGCATTGTTATTATCAATGGTAGTAAGGCATATTGTTATGAGTTTATAAATACACTAACTGAAAATACAGAAAGTATATCTATTGATAGTCATAATTGATAATTAACAATGCGTGACTGTGACAGCAATGTCATAAAAATCCAATTAGCAACCAGTATTTATAATCCCTTGTGTATTATACATGTATATTAACTTAAAAATTTGAAACTTTAAATGTTTATATCTAATAAACTAATAAAGTTATAATAAAAATTCAAATGCCATTTACTATTGAATTAAAAATCCAAACATTTTATTTAATTTAAAATATGTGTTCCCATTTAAAAAAACAAAGTTGACACCCTTACAAGGCATAAGAGATGAACATAAAAAGTTTTAAATAGTTAATAATTCAAGAATAATGTGTAACTAAAGAAAACCCTCACAAAAAAAAATGTTTAAATTTTATTTATTCTGTAAGTAATTGAATGGGTTATGATAAAAAAATCATTCTGTATATAAATAAACTAATTTTTATTGTTTATTATGACATATAAAGGATTACAAATAAAGGTAGCTAATTGGTTTTTTATGACGATATTAGTAGTAAAATACAGTTGTGAGTTTATAAATACACTAACTGCCAATACAGAAATTATATCTATTGATAGTCATAATTGACATTAAACACTCCGTGACTGTAACAGCGATGTCATAAAAAACTAAAAAGTAAAAAATAAATATAGTTTAAAAAACTAAAAAAACACGCTTTTAAAGCACATCAAACTAAAAAGTTAAAAATAATTTTCAAAATAAACTTAAAACAATAACGAACGAAAAATACTAGTGTTATTGTGAAAAAAAGTGTGGATACTTTGTGCCATATTTTTCGTATATTGAGAGTTCGACGTTTTTTCATTCAATATATTTGACTAGCTTAAAAATGAGAAAACTATCATCTAATTTAGAAAATTACTATTCTATACAGCATTAAAACCGTAAATCCAGAGTATCTAATGAATATCTTTGTATTTAAGTGGGGATAGCGATATGTTAAAGAAATACTTATTAATACAAATAATCGTTTTCCACTATATACTACAAGCCTATATTTTAAAGTAATAATACTTCTGAGATAATGGTGTATAAGTTGTTATTGATTAAAATCAATAACAACTAGAAACTTATTATTTTAAAAAATGTGTTATGAGCTTCAAATACAAACTGCTTCGGCACTCTGAAAACTTTCATACGCTACTGCAAAATAGGATTAACAATTTTGTCAGTAAAATAATTGTTTTCTTTAGAAGCATCTCTAAATCAAGTAGGTTGTTATTTGAGGTAACTCGAATAAGGAAACCTTTGATAGATAACGTCTCTTTAAATTTTAGAAAAGTACATGTGTTATTATTATTGTTGTTAATTTAGTTAAGAAGTGGGGTAACTATATATATATATACAGGGTGTTCAGTAAGTTAGGAAACAGTTAAATTGTTACAAACAATGAGTACAATAGAAATTCGTTTCCTTATTTACTGAACACCCTGTATATTAGTATCCTTAAACAAATTTTAAAGGAAAAGGGTTTTCTTTTAGATATTGATTTGATAATAGAATACAAACCTATAAAATATATAGACAAGACTCGGTAATATGTATGCTGTTTTATCCTAATGCTGTTTTGTTGAATTTATTGAATAATTTATACAGTTTTAATTAAATCAGTATTGTTGTCAGTTTCTATGAGAGGACTGAGATTTGATTCAAGTTGTGCGTGACATAATAAATTAGATTTTATTACAGAACATTTATCACATTTTTCTTGGAGTCCATTCTCTTCATTTTTATTGTTTGACATATCTAGAAAAATCATTAAATAATTTAGATACAACTTTTATGTTTAAGATTTTTTAGGTAAGTTTAGTGTTATTTGTGTTTCTAAAAATTGATCATAAAGAGTTCATAAACAACTCTTAACACATCTAACTTTCTTTTTATTAAGGAAATTCTAGTTCTTAAACAATTTTCATTATTTTATCAATTAATTAGATTTGATTATATTTTTCAAATGTTAAAAGCATGAAGTGTAGTTTAAGGAGGCTAAACTCGCAATTGAAAGCCGTCCTGTAAGGTTACAGATGTCTAGACATTGTTTACTAAATTTACCACTAGTCAGCGCGTCAGGCACATTTGAGACTACTTTCGATTATTTTTAACTCTTATAATAGGTTTTTTTTTGTTTTTAAATTTTACCCATTTATATATTTATAAATTTACCCCTTAATGGTGTAAAATTTCACTACCCTAGTGTTTTTCATCATGCTAGATGGATGTCTAAAGCAATTTATTCGTTAAAAATATACATGTTCAGAAAACAGCTTAATATATGAGAAGAACATGCATTTCGTAATATTTGTGTATTTTTGGTCAAAGTTTATGTCAAGGCTTAGTTTAAGGGATCTATTGTCATACAATCAGCATTTAATGATTTATGTTTCTTAAAAGTTTTAATTAATTATCCTGATACTTTTATATCTAAAACTGCAATACAGAAATTTACCGGACAGTGTACCGGCAGATATTATACTAAAAATGGTTGAGGCATCAAGAGAGACATCACAAAAACAAGATAAAAAAAATTACAATAAACCTAAATGATACTAAACTATTTAAAAAAAAAGAACTTGATAGTTTTTTTGGAAACTCATCCTCATAGCTAGGTTCAAAATCCTGATTTTCAAAATGGTTTGAAAGTTTTATCTAATTCTCTTGTGACAAACGATATAGCAGAGAGAGGTGTAAAACGTATGCAAGAATACAATGAAATATTAACTAATGATGATGAACAAAAACAGTTTCTACTACAAGTCGTTAATGATTATAGATCACAATTTGGAGATTGTACTAAAAATTCATTGATGAATAATAACAATTAATAATCCTATCAAAAACAAAATTTTTTTTATATTGTGACTACTAGAAGAATTATTTGTAATATTATTTAATTTTATAATATTTTATGAGCATTAAGATCATTTTTCATATTTTTTTTAGCATTTCATTATTGGTTTACTTATTTTATTTGAGTTTGAAAAAATAAAAAAAAAAATCGTTATTTTTTAAATTATCATAGAAAAATGATTGTTATTTATAAGTTTTCTTTATTACCTCGCCAGAAAACTCGTAAAACAATTTTACTTTTCTACAAAACTAATAGAAAATTAAATTTCAAATAACTTTTACATGAAAATTTTTTTTATAACTTGAACGGTTCATCGTATATACTTAAATTGCCGAAATATATGAATTTTACTGGTAAACATAATATTTATGGAACTTTTGACTTTTAGGAGGTAAATATTTGACTTATGAGTTTTTTGCTAATAACCTTTTTTATGTAAAATAATTATATGTATAATTTCTTTCTTATAAACTTTTACGTAAAAATCATATATTTTGAGATAAAGCACAATAACTGAAAAACTACCCTTTTGATCGAATTTTCAACCCTCTTGCGGCACGTGTTAACGTCAACCTATCGGGACCAAATTTTGCACAGTTTATTTTTACATGTATTAGAACAATTTTTTGGTGCGCGTAAATCGAATTTTGAAAATTTGTATTTTAAGGACCACCCTAATATATATATATATATTAATACAAATAATTGGTTTTCCCCTACCCTGGGGGAATATCGGCCATACATAAATACAAGCAAAAAAATAAAGATAAAATAATTTTTAAAAATAATAAATGAAATAAAGTTCAAACTAAGAGTTGTCTTCTATGATAATTACTGAATACAAATACAATATAACAATATAAAGTCGGAGTTATTAAAACTGACGGGTAAACAATTAACAACTGAAATACATAAACTAATTTATAATGTATGGACTAAAGAAAAAATGTCGATGGACTGGATTATAGCAGTTGTCTGCCCGATCTTCAAGAAGGAAGACCCAGCGAAAGTCAAAAACTATCGAGGAATTTCTCTCTTGGACACAAGCTACAAGGTTCTGTCTCTGACTATCCTCAGTAGACTAGAGAAATATGCAACTGATATTATAAGAGAATACCAAAGCGGATTTATAAGAGGAAAATCAACTGCAAACCATATCTTTACTATTCGACAAATGTGAAAATACTATGAAAACAATAACGAACTCCACATAATTTTTGTCGTTTTCAAACTAGCTTATTACATCATAAATTGAGATCAATTATGGATTGCTTTGACGAATCTAGGTATTCCAAATAATTAATAAGAATGATTAAGATATGCAACTCCAACATACTCTGCAAAGTCCGATAGCAGGGGAGCTATCTCCTCATTTCAAAGTAAAATCGGGTTTAAAGCAAGGAGATGCCATTGTTCTGGTCCTGGAAAATACACGGACCTGTGAGATATGAATTAACTGGAGATTTTGAAAGGAGAAAAAATACCAACTTGGAATCGCTATATAATAAATTAAATATTAAATGCTTCCTAAAAGCCAGAAGTCTAGAATGGACGTGTCATGTGTGGCGAGCCGAGGGAAACATAATCCGAGAATTACTGATTAATAACTCAACTGGCAAGCGCCTCAGGGTAAGACATCGGCAACGACGGCGGGATAGAGCCAACGCAGATATAAGACGAGTGGTATTAGCAAGCTTTGAATCTGCTATTAGCCGTGACAGGTGGAGGTAATTAGTAAAAGCTGCAAAAGGCTAATGCATAATGGCCCATAAAGAAAAAAAAATTGAGAATGGGGTAACACCAGTTATTCCAGAAGTGACTGCTATTCTCCTATTAATTTTGAACAGTAATTCCCTTTTTGTCAAGTAATAAGAGAATATTTTTAATCGATGAACCATTATACTATTAGGAAGATAATTTGAATATAGAATAATTCTTATGTTTTGTTCTATACGTGCATATATAAATTAAAAATATATAATAATTTGTTTACCTTAAATTAAATTTCTTGAAAATTTGTTTGATAAATAAACTTTGACAATTATTTTCACACATTTAAACGTGAAAACGTTTTTTGATAATATCGTTCTGATTAGAATAAGGTCTTGTTATCATTCTTAATCTATACGTATGGTCTATATAATTTTAGATGCATGGGTTTATTAGATAACGAGGTGACCGGTATTACCCACTAACCTTAGTTTCCCCAGTCACCCCTATCTATATCTGTGTCAATATCCAATATATAAGGAAAGGATGCAGTTTTGGAACAGTTTGGACTTCTCTTCACCACATGTATCTGTCGGTGACAGCAGTTCTTTTCAACGCAAATTATATGAGCATAGCCCAAAACTGTTATTAACTCACAAATGTTGAATGGTTGTGTATTTTATGATTAGACTTTAACAAACATTGTCATTATTATAGTATTGTAATTGACCAAGGTTTATAATTATTTTTATTATATATAAACAATGATTGTCAGAATTTCATTTCAACATGAAATGTATGAGCATAGCTCTACTGTGGGAGGAAGGTTAAGCCTCCAACCAACACCTTTTGTTACACCTATGCTTACATTATATACGTCAATATAATTTATTGTACATTTAAGGTTTATAATATTATTTAAAGTTACTGTATAACAACCTAAAGTGTCTTCCGAAGATTCTAGTATGACATCTTTTGATTTTTTGGATGATGTTGGAGCCATTCCTTGAACGAGATCCATTCGAGAATCCAGAGAAAACTGTTTTCCAGACATGAGAATGCCCCTAATTCTTCTCCTTATTGCTAACATACATTGAATTAAATTTAAAAATGAAACCGAGTACTATAGGTATAATTAAAATTATATTAATTACTAGTGTATTTACAAGAACTATCCTTTAATTCACTTCTTAAAAGTTTTCTTGACCAATCGTCTCCATCATCAAATAAAGCTGCAAAACTGCCATTAACGACTTTTGGAGACATGGGCGAATTAGCTAGCAATAAACTAGCACCAAAGTTGTTATTCCACTTACGTATTTCTACAGAAAAAACAAAAAGTACGATTTATTAAACTTTTAATTAGTGATAGAACTTAAAGCAAAAATTAAATAGAATTTTGGCCAATTCAGCAAAGTTCAATTTAATTAAAAATTCTTTATAGGTTTATACAGTACCATAAGAATATTTTTTATTCTAAGGGGATAGTGATACCTAAACTAAATTAATAGTTAATTGTTATAATTATTTATTGACAATAGATATTGTAGTGTTAAAAAAAAATATTACAAACAAAAAATATCATTCTTCGTTGATGTAAATTGTCTCGAATACTGTTTATAACTTAGATTATATTTTTAAGGATTTTAAACATTTTTGTTCGACTAATTTTTAGCTTTGATGCGAAGGTGAGAGAGTATTGATTTTACATAATGTGCTTATTTTTAACTTTTATTATTGTTATTGTCTGTATCTGCACAACGTTTTCTATAGACGACAGATCAAAATTTTTTTTTTTTTTCAACCGTTAGGTTGGTTAATACCATTGGTATATCCTGGGGATATTGCAGTGGTTTTCTGTCGCCTTCTGCACTGGGACACATGGTGCTTTTTTGCCACCGTAGAAACGCACGCATGGTCACCCATCTGTTCATCTACGGCGGTAGGCGCGGCTAAACACTAGAGTTTTGTTAACATCTAGTGTGACCACCGCGACACATCATGCCCCAGATAAAAATTATCCACCTCTAAATGTTAGTGTAAATCTTGCTATCGGAGAACCACTAGTTGAAATAATCGTCGATAGCAACGTTCCACAATTAATTGATACACTCTAAAATGTATACTATTCAACTTGAAAGTTTTCTAATCTTCACAAGGAATAAAAATACAATACAAAACTTTGAAGAATTAGTATCAGATTTTCATATGTTCCTTATCAAAACTTGCAATAAACTAATCATATCCAACAGCTGAATATTATTGAAAACGAAAAGAATTATTTTAATTTGTTAATTTTTGAAAAAGTTATGGTAGTTTTAAGAAAAACAGATGAAAAAAATCTTGAAAATTATGGTTTTTAAAATTGTAATTTTTTTGGAGATTTCTCAAATTTACGTAAAACAAAAGAATTGTTTCAATTTGTAAGGGTAATGTTTTCACTAGATACAATTTGTGATCTTTTGACGTATTGTTGAGAAAAATCGGTCCAGTAAGAGCTGAGAAAAAGTAGTGACAGACACACATACATAAAAAAAAAAAATAAATAAAAAAAAAAAAATAAACACATCATGGTAAAATTAATACCTTCTCAGCATCACAACGAAGCTAAAATATTAGATACATTATCAATATCTTCATTTCTGAGAGAATTGGTAATTGCACATATAACTATGAACTTTACAAAAATATATGTTAAATATAAATCATTAAAACCTGTTCCGATTAATCGTAGAGTTCAACAAGATTGTCCATTATCTCCAATACTTTTAATTCCTACCAGAGTTATATATTAAAACAGGTTACAGATCAAGATTTTGTTGAAATTTATTTATATATATATACTGGTTTATGGATGCGATACCTGGACTATCACTAGTAATGCAGAAATGAGACTAAGGACATTTGAAAATAAAATATAGAGAATAATTTGCGGTCCTGTCTATGATAACAGAATAGGTGCTTGGAGAAGAAAATTTAATCGGGAACTACAGGATGAGTTGGGACTGCCACCAGTCACTAGCTTCACAAGTGGCCAGCGAATACAAAGACTTGGTCACATAATGTGCTAAAATGATGAAGAAACGGTTAGGGCAGTGCTGGAATGGAGACCTGCAAGGAAGAGATAGTTGGATATAGTGGAAGAAGATCTTAAGAAAATAGGAATACGAGAGTGGAAAACAATTGTTCATACCAGGAAGGAATAGAGACAGATCGTGATGGCGGCGAAAACACTTCAAGAGTAATAAATGCCAGCTGAAGATGATGTTACTATCGATAACTAAAAAATAACTTTTTCTAATGATATACATTATTACATTGCTTGATAAAATATTAACATAACTCAGTCATTGGGAGGGGGGCATGTGTCCCTGTGCCACCTCTAAATACGACACTGTCTGTGATATAAAGGCCAAAGAAAATTTTATCGACTTGGTGGTGTAATAGGTTCAAACGCAAGAACAATTACGACGAAGCTAAGATTATAAGAATTAAAAAAATGGCCAAAATTAAGACAACGAGAAATTGGATAATAAAAATTGATCACTTGTGGCTAGTTAATTAAGTAAAATTAAAACTATATTAAAAATATTATTAATTTAATATAGTTTTAATTTTACTTGAGAAATTGGAGTTATATGGTACAAATATTGTACCTAGATTAACATGGTTTTACATAAAACATAGAATGTCTAGTGCAAAATAGACTAATTGAATAAAAACATCTAAGAATTAGATTTAAATTGTGGAGGTCGTAGTGTAAATTACTGCTATTGCAAGTATATAACTGTAGTGAGAATAAAATTGCAGAAACGATTTACACATCAGGGATGTTTGTCCTAAGTAACTGCGTAACGTTGACAATATAAAGTGGGGATTCTTATCGGCAGTTTATTTTGTCAAAAAGGTCTTGGAACTAACAAAGAAGTTCATAATGAGGTATGTAATATAATCTATTATTTTTAAAGTTGGAAGTAAAATTTTTTATTTAATATTGTAATATTTGGTTTAATTATAACATAATTGTAATTTCTTGATCTACGAGGTGTGTTCATAAAAAAATTTTTTGATAATATTAATACATATATCACTGAAGTATGATAAAATTTTCAGCTGGATTCAATTTTAGCTTTGCAGTGAAGGCCGTATGGTTAAACGGGTATTTATGAGTTCAACGATTTTCGTTTTTTAAAAAAATGGATCAAAGCATTTGTATCAAATTTTACGTAAAAATTGAAATTAAGTGTGTGAAATGTGTAACAATGGTCTATGGTGAGTCTGCCATGAGTAAAACAAAGGTATACGAGTAGTATAAGTGTTACCAAGATGGGCGTGAAGACGTTGAAGATGACGAACGCCTTGGATGCCCTAATACATCAACAACCAATGAAAACGTAGAAAAAGTGAAAGAAATGGCTATGCACGATCGATGAATCACAATTAGAAAAGTCGCTGATACTTTCTGTTTGATTTATGTATTATGTATTGATAAGTATGCTTTGTCGTAAGGCAACCTTAGTTAAAAATAACCTGCTTAATATTTATGTTAAATTAAGTTATTTTTCTCTCTAAGAGTCTATTAATTAAGTAAATTTCCTATTATTGAGAAAATTGACTTTTACTACTTTATTGATACTACTGTAGGAGTTTTGGGTTAGGTTTGATTTATCTTATATATCTACACCTTTGAAACATCTATGAACACATGAAATATTCAAAATAACACAGGCAATTACATCCCTACATTTTTTCGATTTTAAATTCTGTATTTTATTAATTGTGTTACTGTATAAGTTGACATACAACAAAATAGTACATAAACTTATTTGAAAATAACTATTTGTATATTTAATATTATTACCAGCTAAAGAAACTTTTGTTTTATTATAAGATAAATCGTTATTATTTGAATTGTGTTCATCAATGATTTCAGTCGCTGTCTCTTTAATCTCAGACCAGTCTTTTGTAATGTCTAAGATAGTGGTGTACTGCGAAGTCACTGTGAAGCGGATTACATACTTTCCTTTAAAAAGTTTATAAATATAGTTATTAATAATTTTTAATTAAAACAATTTCGTTTTGACTTATTTCAAATTATAATATAGTCATGATTTCTATTAAAGCAAGCAATAAGAAATTTATTTTGAATCATTTGAAAAATGTACTTTTTTAAAAATATTTCTTTATACCATTGTTTGATTTAAATATTAGAATTAACTTAGGTCATTGATTTCTAATTTTCATTTTTAATAAAATATTAGGTTTCAAAATACCTTTTAAAGACGCTGGTACGCAGTGTATTCGACCTCTGGAATTAAGACGTTTTAACAATCTTTCGGTTAAATGATTTTCACCACGCAACCGAAAAACGACTAAACCTAAATGTCTGGCTGCTGGTATCTCAAATCGGGAGTCATTAACAATCATCAGTTCAAATTTTTTTGCTAAATGTACTCCCTAAGTAACATTTAATAAATATAGTCTTAAGTCATATTAATTTATGATTATAATGTTTATATAAAGTATAGCTGTATAATATTAAGCTTACATTACGAATATGTTTTTGAAGTCCTTTTATTCCATAACTACGAATTACAAACCATAGTTTCAATGCTCTGAATCGCTTGCTTAATGGTATTTGCCAATGCTATAAGTTTGTTTAAATAATTTTTTAAATTTATTATAACTATGTAAAACTGATTATAATGCGGCCAACAAAAACTGAGCCGTAACTGTCGTGCCCTGGTTGGGTTTGGTTATTAGTATATTTCCTTGTGTAAAATACATTTCAATATTCTGATGTATATAATTTTATTATTTTGACGTTTATAATAAATTAATAATAATATGACTCTAACTGTTCGTGCCTTCTTTTATAAAATCGTTCTCTTATAGTTTTACATAATGTTCATCACATTCACGTTCTGATACTTCATTTAAAGCATTATTAACTAATATTTCTAAATTGGCAATTTTAAAAGTATGATTTTTATCAGTGACTATCTTTTACTTATCCACAATTCTCACAATAGATAGAAATGGTCCAAAAAATTATAGTCGTCATAAAACAATCGATGTTAATATTGTTAGTTTTTATTTTATTTTGAAATAACTTTTTGAAAAATTGGACGAATTTTTGCGAATTTATTTATGTTTATTGATAATACTTTAGACTTTGTCCATGCCGACAAAATAATTATTATGAAAATTCAATAATTAATCAAGGTCCTGGGAGGCTAAAAATTATATCCAACATATTTTTCTTTTCAGATTTTTATGTTTCAAAAAGCCTTTTTTCTTAATACTACATTAAATTAAAACTAATACAATATACTTTAAGATGAAATAAAGTAAAACTATCCGAAATATAGATGTCTAGGATTTTTTCGACATTAAATTCACACTATTTTTTGTAAAATCAGCATATTTTAGAGTGTTTTGCATAGCTAATAAAATTTGAATTTTTTCTAAACTGTTCTGACGACTTTTCTTCTACGAGTATTCAACTTTTAGTTACAATCCATGTATTTTTTGGTAAGTATATTAAATTTTTTTAAATGTATTTCAAATACGCATGGATGCGTTTTACAACATTAATTTTAATTGCTATCAGGTTCAATCAATACTAATATAAAAAGTATCTCAACTCCACTCTGCTAGATCCCTCTACTGAACTTTACTTTCTTAAATTTAAAATTTAGTTTTTTGATAGAACTTTTATAGATGATTTATAGTTATTATAATCAGTTATTTTACGTATAGCAACTAAAATTTTTGCTGATTTAGAAAATTGACCGTTCTCGTTAAAGCTATGAGTCGTCTAACGTGGTAAACATTTTTAGACGGGTTTAAGTCTTTTTTGGTGACTTCAAAAAATATAATTGGTAATACCTGCCAAATCTTGTGATTTCCTGTCTTTAACTATTTTCTCTCCAGCACAAATACATTTTAAGCAAGTGAGATTTACTCCATATGATTCAACAGTTACATCTCTAGTACGACGAAAATATTCAACAATATACGGTAGGAAGTGGTTATTTGACATCATTTCAAAATAATTATAAACTGAACAAGTTGTTCAGTTTATAAGGGATAAGTTATCCGTTTAGATTGAAAATGGTAATATTTATACTTTGCCATGTTAAAAAAAAATTTGTATTTATAATTTACGTTTTTAAAAAATTCAATAAAAAATATTACGTGCAATTAATTATTTATAAAATTTAAGTTTACAAGCTGGAGAGCAAATAAAAAATAAAAAAGTTAAAAATATGTGGACAATATAATGTACACTATATGAATTGGTCAATAAACATAAATATGTGTTTCGTACTTTTAATTTTTTCAGCTTAAGTACATGTGGTGAAAAATAAATAACTATGGATATATTAGCCATTATTCTACCTAGTAAAGTGATAATCGTTGTATGAATAATTGGTAATGAACAAAATAGTTAATGTAGTCTAGTAATAGGCATTAAATTTTACCGACGTGATATTCCGGTTTGTTTTATAGATACAATAGGACTCATATTATCATTTTGGCAGTAAATTATCAAAATAATTATTATTATTGTACACTTAAAATGCTTTTCTTTCGTTTATTTTGTATGATTTTCTTTTCTCAATCTTCTTCTGCAGTATTCAATCTAATGATTGGTTTGCAGTTACATCCATGTTTCTCTATCACTAGCCTTCCTCTTCAACTCTTGATATGAATTACATCCTCGATCTTTTATTAACTGACTTATGCATTGGAATTTTGGTCTTTCTCTAAGTTTTTTCAATCAATTTTTCCTTCTAAAATTAATAATAGCAACCCACCGTGTCTTAAAGTATGGCATATTAATTCATTTCGCCTTTTCTGTATACTCTTCAATATTAATTTCCTCTCAGATACCCTTACTAAAACTTTTTCATTAATAACTCTATCACTCCAACTTATTTTTTCCATCCTCCTGTAGCACTGCAAGAGTGCCTCTATATTTCTCATTTCTTTTCTTGCAATAGTCCACGTTTCACATCCATATAACATGACGCTCCAGATGTACGTTTTTAGTAAATTATTATTTCTAATATTAAGATCAATGTTTTTTAAAGTAAAAAGACTTATTTTCTTAAATTGCCAACTTATCTTAGGATATTCTCTTTATAATTTCTTATTTATATTTACCATCTGAGCTTAGTGCTACCAAATATATGTAATTTTCTACTTATTCTACAATTTCATCGTCCTTTAATTTAATTTTTGTTCTTATGTTATTGTCTCTACTACATACTAGGACTTCTGTCTTCTTGCATTTATTTTCATATGTAAATCTTTTTCCATCACCTGTTCCTAGAATCTTTTTTAGATCTTTTTCATTCTCCGCTATTATTGCAATGTTGTCCACAAATCTCAGCATATCTATAATGTGACCATTTAGCTTTATTCCTAGCTTTGTCCAATCTCTTATAATATCTATGGCCTCTTTAATGTAGGCACTAAATATTAAAGGTGTATTTTCACAATGCAATAACTTAAAATTTGAATAAAAACCAGACGTTGGCTACAGCTTATTATTTTTTCCTCTAAATTGGAGTTATACAGTCTACAAAAACTATCAATTGAAACTAATCATTGAATACATAAATTCAAAAAACTTCACTACATGATGAGTGACAGTCACGGCTCTCTTTTAGTTGGACATATTAGAATAAATTTAAAGATATATTTAACAAAATTAACTGACGCTTACCATGTAGTCAATAGCAAGACCTAATAAAATAAAAAACTAATATTATTTTCTTTTGTAAACAATTTTGTGATCTCGTGAAACGTCTACGCATTAAATTCTAATTTATAAAACAGAAAATATTTTATTATATATTTTTTAAAATATATTCAATCTCTAGATAGATTATATTAATTCTCAGATTCTGTTATTAGACGGTTTGTTAGTAGATATAATTTTCATTTTAATACTTGTTTCGATTAATTACAGTCTCAAAAAAGATTTTAATAGCATAAATACAATTTATGCAATTTTCTGATAACTAGAAGAATTACCAGTTCATTTAAGATAAAAATTATAGCTAATTTCAAAGTTTATAAGATAGTTTTATTTTTTGTAATTGACTTTATTATGCTTGTATTGAACTCAATTCTTATTCCTACCAAGAGTAATTTTTCTTTTTATTTATAGGCGATGATAAAAATTTGTACTGTAATACGTGCATAATAATATTATTTTAGTTATAAATTATATTGTAATAGAAAATACCTGAATTTTCATGTTGTAAATATAATGGGTCAACATTGAACGTACGGTGAAGATGTTCGCTGTTTTTCACCCTAAAAATTAGGTATTGATATGAAAGTTAATACTTGTGGTGGATTCAGAAATGGGTTCATATTTGTCATGACTCCACCTCTAAAAGTAGATGCTATATCATGAATTATTTGTTAGTATAAAAATCATATCGCAGTTTCATATTAATTACATAAAATGAAGACCTTTAAGCTTAAAGTGTGTAACTAAAAAGCTATTGATTTTAATTTGCCGTGTTTTTTAGCTTCGATGCGAAGCTGAGAAGGTATTGATTTTACTAAGATGAGTTTTTTTTTTTTTTTTTTTGTCTTTTACCACTTTTTCTCAGCTCTCACCGAACCGATTTCTTTCAATGATACGTCAAAAGATCACAAATCGTAACTAATCGAAGACATTACCCTTAAAAATTGAAAAAAATTCCCTCGTTCCCCGTAAATGGGGGAAACCTCCAAAAAAATTACAAATTTAAAAATCGCTAATTTTCGAAATTTTTTCAATTTTTTTTACTTAAAAGTGCCATAACTTTTTCAAAAATGAACATATTAATATAATTTTTTTTTTAAATGCTTGATGTCTTTACCTATCATTTGGTATATTTTTTTTATAAATTTGACCCTAGACCTGTCCACAAGGGGGGATTTAAAATGACAACTTTTTCACAAAAAATTTACTTTTTCAACATAACTTTTGAAAATGTTCCGGAAAGTCTGACACTTTTATATATATCTTAAATTAAAGCTAATGTAATGTGCTTTATTATGGGAAAAAAAAAAATTTCGGACTTTATTTTATCAACACGGTGAAAATGACTACCGAATGCTATTTTTGTGTGGAAATACTCGATTTTATTTTTTAAATTTTACATCAATACAATTTTTATGAGAAATAATATTTATATCCCTCTTTTATTCGACATACGGGATATAAATAAAGAAATAGTAGATCATGTAGCTTTTGGAATAATCCATCAATTTTTTAAAATTAAACACTATCTAAAGATTTTCATGAAAGCGTTTTTTTTTTATAGTGATTTTAATCACTGTCAGATATCATTATACTTGATTCAACTATGCTACGTCACCACTGTGCCGGGGTTTTTTTTTTTGGTTGTCCTGTATAATTAGATATAATGCAAAAAATAATATATATTACCACATTGCTGTACAGTCAAAGTGGACCATCATCCATTTACTGGGATTAAAAGCTATTGAATCAGCATACGTAACGCCGGATAACCAATGGCGAAATTCTGGACATATGAAAGCAGTTCCAGCATAAGCTGCGTCAATGTGAAACCACATGCCTTCGGCTTGACCTTAAAAAGTATTGAATTTATTTGTATTAGTTGTAATATTTATTTTTTTATGTTAAGATGTGTCATGAGTTTTATTACTTACAAGACGTTGTGTTTTAAATTTATTGATATACTTACATATGGGCCCCAATTCTTCTAAGTTATCAAATGCACAAGCACCAGTTGTACCTAAAGTTGCGCAAACCTAAATATGTATGCTTAAATTAGATAGGAATATAAATTCATACCTGACAATAACGCTTATATGAAATATTAAAATTATTTTACAAAGGGATACATCTAATTATTAGAATAATATTATAATAATTTATATTAGGCTTCGCTTAACTGGAGTTTTATCCCTGCGACGCGTTAAACCTTTAGCCCGTCCTTATGGGTAAATTTTTTTATTACGGTAATAGTACCCGACTATACTGTGCTTGATAAGTGTTTTGTTGAAAAACATTAATTATTTCATTAGAATCAGTATGATAAAAATATAGTATAAATGTAATTAAATTTTTTTTTATTTTATTTTATTTTATTTTAAATATAAACGGACGTAAGTCCTTAACAAATATATTAAGCGTATACACGTATCAATAATACAATGAGGTCATAGAAATGACTAATTACAAACAAATTACATTATACATTTGTAAGTAATAATATATATAAGAACAAAAAAAAGTTAAATAGTAACATAGAAAGACTTAAGATGAGACATGCTAAACAAAATCAAAGGTAATAGAATTACCTGCAGCCATAAGGATATTAGAAGGACAGTTTTTCATATAATTTGTTTTAAAAGGGACGGGATAAAATAAATCACTGAATCTTGTATTATTATGGTTTATTTTAAAACGGATGAGGGAAAGGAGTTCTTCACAGTCTATATTTCCTAAGAGCAAATTATGTAACAATTTCGATAGTAATAAAGTGCGTCTAGTTTTTAATGGAGAAAGATTAATGAATGATAATATTGAGTCATAGGAACCGTGAGGTGGCCTATAAACATTAAAGTTAAAGGAGATGAAACGGAGGAAGTTATTTTGAACTGATTCGATTACATCAATCTGTTTAGAGGTATTATTAGTCCAAATTAATGGACAGTATTCTAGGTTAGAGCGAACTAGGGCACAGAATAAAACTTTTAGAGATAGAGGATCTCTGAATGATCCACAAGTTCGCTTGATAAATCCTAAGTTGCGCATTGCCTTATTAATTATCATTTCAGTATGGGCTGAAAAATTTAGTTTTGAGTCGAAGATGACGCCTAGGTCTTTAAAGGTGGTTAATAATTCAATATTAGAATTAGAAATAGAGTAGTTATAATCGATGATATTTTTGCTTAGGCTAAATCGCATAAATTTGCATTTCTCGGTATTTAATAACAGACGGTTGGCTGAGCACCAGTATTGAATGTTATTAATATCGGTTTGTAAGTCATCAGCATCGTCTTGATTATTAATTATTTTTACCAGTTTAAGATCGTCAGCGAAGAGAAAAATGCGGGATTTTTTTATGACATCCGGAATGTCGTTTATGAAAATATTAAAAAGTAGGGTAGACAGGTGATCACCTTGCGGGACCCCGGATGGTACATTAAATTTATCGGATTCAAAATTCAGATGTTTAACAACGATAATGCGGTTGGAAAGAAAAGAGCGAAACCAGGAAAGTAGAGGGTCAGAGAACCCAAACAGTTTTAATTTCATAAACAGTAGTTCATGGTTAACGCTATCAAACGCTTTTGACATATCAGTGTAAATTATATCGGTTTGAGAACGAGCAACGAAAGAGTCAAGTATTATTTGTTTAGTAATAGCAAGGTTACAATTAGCTGATCGCTTAGATATAAAACCATATTGATGTTGAGATAAAAATGCAGAACAATGTTTATTTATTTTATTAAAAATAAGTTTTGAAAAGAGTTTAGGAATAACTGATATTTTTGATATTGGCCGGTAGTTAGAGACAATTGTGGGATCGCCTTTTTTAAAAACCGGGTAAATAAAAGAGTTTTTCCATAAGTCGGGGAATATACCATTTTGGAGCGATAAGTTAAAAATATGTGTTAAAGTTGGTGTAAGTATAAATCTGCAATTGTAGAGGAAAAAGGCTGGAATGCTATCAGGACCAACGTTGTAATTGATAGAGAGAGTGGTAAGCTCATTTAAAACATCGACCTCAGTGAACAATATAGACGAAAAGGAAAATAAATTATAACTACTTAAGGAATTATTTAAACAAGGAGCAGAAATGGATAGATTGTCTGGCTTAGGGTAGTTTTTAAAGAAAAATTTAGCAAATAAGTTAACTATATCTTGCCCATTATCAGCTGACGTTGTATCGAGCGTAAGGAGACTTGGTATTGACTTATTATTTCTACGACTATTAACATATTTCCAGAAAGACTTAGGGTTTGATTTGACAGATAATTGGACTTTATTAATAAATTTTTTATAATCTAGTTTAGCAGTTCTCTTACATTTAGCCCTCAAATGGGAAAAGCTGTTATAATCAGATGGGTCATTAAATTTTTTATACAATGAATGAGCAATTTTTTTTTGTGATAATAATATTTTTAACTCAGTAGAATACCAAGGGGGAAAGCTGTTTGACGAAACACGCTTTTTCGGTACAAAGGTATTAATTGCTTCGTTTAAACAATTATATAAATGGTTAATTATTTCATTAAGATTAAAATTAATAGAAGCATTGCAAGGTAAATTATCGGCTAAAAATTTTACAATATCAATATAATTACAATGTTTAAAATCATAAAAATAATCTGTTGGCTTAAGTATGATAAATTGATTGTAATCTATAGTAACATTAAGAGCAGGGTGATGCATATCTAATGGTAATAATGGGTCGGGATCAGTAGAGACATTTAGGTGAACATTTGATAAGACTAGATCTAAAATTACATTATTTTTGTTAAGAATATAGTTAAACTGATTAAAGTTAAAATAAGACAACATATTTACAAAATAAGAATCTACTTGAGAAGTGCAATTTATTGGGAGCGATAAATGATTCCAGTGAATTGATGGTAGATTAAAATCACCTAATATTATAAATTTTGCAGATGGGTAGGCTGAGTATAGATTACTTAAAGCGGAGAAAACATTTTCGTACGTTATTAATGGGGAACAAGGGGGTATATAAACGCAGCCAATAATGAAAATTGTATCAGCCATTTGTAAATGCACGAAAACTGCTTCAATGCAATTAATAGAAGTATTTAAAATTTTACATTTAATTGTATTTTTTACTGCAATCAAGACGCCTCCACCATGAGAACGATCACTATTTAGAGGCGATCTATCACAACGGAAAATTATGTAATTAACAAAGTGTAATTCAGTGTTACATATATCAGGTGAAAGCCATGTTTCAGTAAAAGCAATAAGATCAAATAGAGAGGTATTGAGTGAGGGGATTAAATAGTTAATTTTAGAAACTATGCTCCTAATATTTTGATAGTAGAGTAGTAGGCTTGAATTAGTGACTAGTTTTTTTGAACCGCAGAGGAGATAATGGTCGGTTGACCCTTGTAGTATTTAATTGTCAGATTTGGCTCGCCTTTTGATATTCGCTCTCTCAACTGGTTGCGTAGATCGCGAAGGAGTTCTCGCTGATACGGTGATTTATCACTCGTAATTCTAATATCTTTAAGATTTTGATCGGATTTCAGGATGCGTGATAGACCGAGAATTTTAAATACCTCTGTGGCCGCTTGCAGTTCAACTTTCAATGGACGAGGCTTATTGTTAGGTTTACCTAAGCGGCTAATTTTTATGGGTTTTATATCAGTTCCGAGTTTATTGAAAATGTGTGTTATTGAATCAGTATCTGAGGTATTGTTCTGGCTAGATTGTTCGTGCACGTTAAAAACGATAATATTTTTAGAACGATTTTGACGGTCAATAAACTCAAAAAACATGTCGTGATTAGCATTAGACTTTGGAACAGCTGATTCCAATAGATCGACACGATTTTTGATAGCAGTCAAATCATTACGCAGCACACTGTTTTCATTTTTAACACTTGATAATTGAGAGAAGATATCTTGGAATTTTTTGTCAAAAGAGTTAAGTTTCTCATTTTGCTCATTGATCAGATCAATAAGTTTGGTTTGCTCCGCGCGTAGGTTATCGAGATGACTGATAATTAATTTTAAGTCAGGTTCATTAGTAGAGAGAGAAGAGAGATGTTTAGTAGAGTTGCCGACGGAAATAGCATTTTTAGATTTTTTTGCACAGTTAACACAAGACCATGATTTGTTCAAACTATTTAAATAGTCGAGATCATCTTGTTTTAACGAAACACAAGTAAGATGGTACAATTTCAAACAAGAGAAACATGTAATTGAGTCGTTTTGACCGCGTTTAATACTTACGGCACAAATATCACATAAACCCATGGTATGAAATTGATATAAAAATAGCGATAAGAGGTAATAATTGTTGAATACGTAAAGGAACACAGAGCATGAATAAATGGAGATAACACACGTGCGTACGCTGTGGCGGTTGACGAGTAACTATAATATAATAGTAAGATAAAAATATAGTATAAATGTAATTAAATTGTATAAATTATTAAAATATGTGAAATTGAAAAAGAGTAAATAGTAAAATGTATTAGGTATAAGTTAAGATTTGTTGACAAGGGTTTTACAATAATTTTGTAATATTTAAATTTCGATACTTTTATTGGTATCAACGATATTAACAAAATTATGTAATGAATCAATAGTATTTTATTTATAATAGTCCTTCTACCTCATAACCTACAAGAACTAGCTGAAATACTTAACATTAAATCACTAAAAAAATTTTACAATTTATTCAATTTTATTTATATTAGTTTTATATGATAAAACAATGAAGCGAAAAAAAATGTGTGGGTCTTTAATTTTGTGACCTCAATCCGGATTCAAGTTATGGTTGAAAAATTATTTTAAATGATAATCAGAAGGACGAACAATAGTGGCTAGAGGGTATTCATCGCTATTTTTTTAGACTCAGGAAATGATGTTTTTTCTTATCAATTTTATTATTTCAGGCGAATTTAATAATTTGGAAAGAATTGGGGAAACTCAATGTTATAAAGCTCTAAACTTTTTGTACCTGTATTAATAAAAGCCCTCGTTAATTAATTTAAATAATTCTAGACCATTTAAATATTTTACCAATTATCCGTCTGTGGTTTCAATATAAATATTGTTGTGTAACTATTTGATGTACAATATAAAAAAAATACATTTTTTTCAAATTAATAAAATATTAAATTATTGAAAAATAATTTAATTATTAATCTAAATTGTGGCATCATCTCAGAATTTGGCTAGATACAAAGATACAATGATGACCAACCTATCACGCTGTAGCACAGAGAGCCAATCCGTCCCTGGGGATCAAGTCTGAGAATACTTTAATTAAGATACTCTAATTAAAAGAGTCTTAAAAATTCTGTAATTAATTAGTTATTACATTATTAACTACTTTTTGTTTAAACAAAAATATAATTATTTTATTAGTAAAAATGTATGAATATTTTATTTTGTTTTATACATTGGTACTTACGAAAAATGGTATTAATTTTTGTTTTTTGTCGGCCGCTATAGCATCTTGTAACTGATCGCCTCTTAAGGATAGAGAGTCATCACTTTCAACGAAACGCATTTTTACCAATCCAATGAGACCAGCTTTTTCAACAGACGAATGTGCCTGAAAGACAACCATAAAAATGAAAAAATATTAACAATAAAAATTAGTGGTAAAATTATTTACTTGGTCTGAACAATAAGCCACTAGTCTACTATTAATCACGGCGTCCTCTAATTGAGGGTCTAGTTCTTGTATACGGCGTATAGCTTGTGTTCTGGCTGCCAGTAAACAAACAAAAGTTGCTTCACTAGACGTTGTCTAAATACAAAATTAAGGTGTTGTAATGTATTCAATTCAAAATAAAATTTGTTTAAAATTTAAAATCTTAGTATTAACCTGGATAACGCCACCACCTTTACTCTCGTTGTGAAGATGCAAAAATGCATCCGGCAAACCAATCATTTTACCCAGCCAATTCATCACTACAATTTCTAATTCTGTACAAGCCGGGCTGCTAGCCTAAAAAATTAATGATAGCATCCATATTTTTTTCTAAATTTTAAGGATAAATCGACACTACCAATGAAAAGTGATAAAATAACATATTTTTTATTTACCTGATTATCATATACTCTGGTACACATTATTTTCGAAATTCTAGCAAAAAAATAGTATAATTTTTTTTAACGATTGGGTCAGAAACAACAAAACAAAAAATTATACGGAAAATATACATTGTCTAAAATTTAAAATGGTTCTCTTGAACAATTAAATCGATTTAGTTAGAACCTTTTTTGTTAGATTGGAGAGTGTAAATTTTCTTTAAAAAATGAAGTCTTTATGAATTACTTATTGTTATAAAAAAAATGTGATTAATTTTAGATAAACTATTTTTCCTTTTCATTATTAGACTATTATTTTACTAATTTTTAGTTAAGTTATACTTTGAAGAATTATTAAAACTGTATCATACCCATGTAAAGCCTAAACAGTTTATAGCATCTGCAAGCATATCTCCTAAGAGTGAAGGAAACGAATTTAAAGCTGGGAAGTAGGCGTGCATGTGTGGTGACTGCCAATGTGTGATCTTAAAAAAAAGAAAATTGAATAGGTACGATGAGTTGAATAAAATAAAATATTTTATTTGAAATATTAGTAAAAGAATGTTGTTTATTACACCGGGCATAATAACGTTCTCAACATCTTCCATTATTTGATCCCAACATTCAGGTTCGACTGGTGCACTATCTGGTGTAAGGTTTCTTAAATAACCAGGCTGTACGTTAGGGTAAACTTGACGTTCTCTAATTGTTTCAAGATACTCAGCAATATAATCAACCATGAATTTCCCTATAAGAAATTACATTTTTGTGTTGAAACAATGAAAGAAAACAAAGTTAAACCATTCAGAATAAATTTTTTTAATACAGTTTATACTTAAATTATATTTATAAAGAAAAAGTGTACGTAATTTTACCAATCACATATATCAATATAAGTTGGTAATCAACCTAAATAATTATGGGAATTTTAAATCTAAAATTGTATTATATATTTTTAATATTTCTTATCATATTTACCTCTTTTTCTGTATTCATCGAAATCCATCAGTAAATTATAGTATAAAATATTTTCCAACCTGCAAAATTATAAAAAAAAATAAATTTTACTAAAACACAGTAATTTTCACAGAGCTCCGTGGTATAATCTCTCTTGATATAAAATCAAAATAGTGGGGTTACTGAAAGGGTAGAGCTTCTTATTATTACTAACATTTAAACAATCATTAATATATATATATAGTAGTAACTTATGTCACAAAGATATCGAGAGATTTTGGAAGCTTACACACTAGGCGTATAATCGTGCGCGTTTTAAAAAACGCAGCAGTTTTAAGCAAAATATTGATAACTTCCAGTTGATAACAGATAATTTATAAAATAAGCTAAAAATATGTGATGGTTTTAATNCAGTTGATAACAGATAATTTATAAAATAAGCTAAAAATATGTGATGGTTTTAATAAATAACATTAACGAATAATATAAAGTTAAAATTATAACAATTTATTATTTTTTCAAAGGATATTGTATTAATATCAATTTAATATTAATATTAATATCAATTCATATATTTATACGATACAATGCAAGCATTTAAATATTTGAACATTTAATTTAAATACGATAGTTTTAAAATAAGGTTGTAACTCGTCATAGAATCAAGGAAAATATCATTAAATTGATGAAATTTATCGTAGATTTAATATTGTTTACTACTATTTAAATAATAGATACCATTCTATTGATTTAATAAATTTTTTTTTCTGAGCGTATAGTTTTCAAATTAACCACTTTAAATTTTTCAATTTCTTATATACAGCGTAAGTTATTAAGATACAACAAATCCAACAACTATTAATTCAATTATCATTTTTTATTCGCCCTCATACCTCACTGATATTATTTGGCTTTTTTATTCTACATTAATTTTGTTTAGTTTTTTTATGAATTATATAAGGTGATCAGTAAGTAAAGAAAAATATTTCTATTGTTTTCATTGACCCTAACGATTGACATTTATCTTAATCTTCTTGAGCTCTCTGTATATCAATTAATAATTAAGCTATCAAATGAACTACTTAAATTTTCTTATCATACAGTGATGTATTTACGAAAGGGTGGGTCCATAGGTCCTAGATGCTAACTCTCAAGGACATAAAATCACAGTGTCGGGGTATATCTCCCCAAACATTTTCGTTATAAAAGCTTCATGCAAATTATCTAAATATGCCACTATTTTAGTATATTAGTATGCATTTAATTATAATAAAACTTACAACTATAATAGAAATAATTTATCAACAATTTATTTATGAGTGCATTAAATTATCACTAAATGTTTGTATTTAAAAAAATAAGAAACTACTATAGCACTTGAGGAAAAAACTAAGAATAAAAATAAGTTTTAATGGGATTTACTTTTACAAATACTTATCGAAAATTACATAGAATAGAATAGTAATACATAGAATAGGTAAGAATTTTGGGTAGAGTATATATCCATCAGTATAGATTGTAGCCACTTGCAATACATACCAACTCTATGTATTAAAATGATTGTAATTCAATGAGTACTTGTCCTTAAATTGTTATCAATCCATTAAATTTTTTTGAAAGATAAGGGTTAAAAAATGATTATTTCAAAATCTTATTATACATTGATAAAACATTGAAATATTAGCTGAGAAAAATACTTAACGACATACTATTTTCAAATTTTTTTTTAAATGAAAAAACTTGACCACGTTATTTTAGGAAAATTATTTGTGAAGGTAAGAAAACTATTTTTAGCACACCGTGAGCGTTTAAAAATTTTATCAAAAATGTTCATTGCCAACCGTGTTTTTCGATTTAAATTCTGAAATTTTTATCAGACTTACGCAGAAACATTTCAAAAGTACTTTGAAAATGTCGTTAAAATCTGTTCATTTTTGAATGAGTTATAAGTTTTTTTTTGCGTTTCTCGGCACTCCAGGCCGCGCCGCACAAATTTCTTGCGCCACTTTTCTCCATGAAAAGTCCACCCGCATAGTTTTTAATAGGATATTATTTTGGTTTGCGCATGTCAATTTTATTTAAATTTTATTCAAGTATACAAGGGTACAGAAAAATTTATAGAAAATTATAAAATTGTTCTAATATCGTTTTTTTTTTTTACAACCGTTAGGTTGATTAAATATTGGATTGGTATATCCTAGGGAAATTAAGTACAGTGGTTTCCCGTTGATTTCTGTACAGGGAACATAGTGCCTTCTCACCACCGTAAAAGCTCAAGTTTGGTCACCCATCCATTCACCTACGGTGGTAGGCGTGGCTTAGCACTACAGTTTTGTCAACAACTAGTGCGACCACCGCGCAACACCACGCCCATTAGTGTATAATATATTTCTAATATAGTGGAAACTTGATTAATTCGTTCAAGTGTTTTCGTAAAGAATTCATAAATTTGGATTTGTTCAATCTATTTGTTTAGTATTAAGGTAATGATTAATGTTTGTTTTTATTTACACATTATTCTAACTGTACAAAATGAATCTTAAATTAAAAATTGATTACCTGAAAAATATATTTTTAAAGACTTAAGATATAATTTATAGAAAAAAAAATACAACAAAAAGTTTAAATTAATAATAGCAAATGAGAACTGATTAAAAATTAGTAACAGAGCGTTTTTAGTTTTTGTATAAGCTTACATTGGCTTACTATTATGTGGTTTTGAGTTAATCAATTTTAATTTACTTTAGGAAAGTCTGAAATTTTTTAATTCCGCAATAATTAATGTAATAGCACATTTTGATTATGTAATATACCTTCAAAGTATAATTTTATTTTTATTGTTAGTATCAAAGAACGTGTCAATATGAAATATTTACTTCCTAATCAAATTAATTTAGTACTTGCAAGTTCTTGCAATTAAGGAATGAATATTTGCTCATACAGGATGATTTTTTAACTACACCTTACTCAACAAAAATATTAAATAAATTAAAAACTTTTTTTCTCAGTTTTATATTTTCCTATGCACTATAACTTTTATAAAAATAATTAGTTCTATCCCCACCTCTTGCTCCTTAAAACTGGATCAACTCATATTTTTTAATGACAACGTATAATTATGAATAATTTTTATATAAGAGGAAGAGTGTGGTTGAGAAAAGTTTAATGACTAAAATAGTCATATCCGCGATTCACTCCCAGTCAATATTAGCTTCGATGCGAAGCTGAGAAGGTATTGGTTTTACTAAGATGTGTTTATTTTTTTATTTTTTTTTTGTGTCTGTTACC